TGCATTTCTTCTGCCAAGCTTTAAAGCATTAACTATTCTAGCAACTTATTTTATTTGGATCGATTTTTCTTTTTTCTTTTCTACTTTGTATTTCTCATTACTACCATATAAGCTTTACTAAGTCTTGGAATAAATTAGAAAGGCAGGGTACAGATTCAGTAACAAGTAATAAATACAGTTACTTCAATCAAGAATGAAGCCGGAGAACAGACAAAAGGATCACAATGACACTCGCATGGTGAAGTCATCATGTGAACAATTATGTACATGCTTCCTGACATCTAAAACAAGGGCATAATTGTCCCCTACAGGTTGTTGTCCCATCTGGGGTTATTCTGAAATGGATTTTGCTCATCTTATAGCTTCTTCGGTCATTAGGCTTGAATTTGTCCTATTTCCTCAATCATCGTACTTGAATTCAGCTGATGAGAAAAACATCAGGTCTTGGGGAGATATATAACTCACGTCGAGTGAGGAAATAGTATTTTGCTTAGATTCCCCTCTATGTGTCAGATCAGGAGACAGCACATAGCCTTGGAGAGCTGCAGTTGCTATAGCAACAGCCATAAGATATTTGGTCAGGAGTAATGCTGGGGTGATAGGTTGAGGTACATTTTGTACTACCTACAAGGATGGCTGGTTCACTATCTGGAGGATTGCAGAGAAGAGCAACAAAGATGATTAGAAGACCGGAGGCTAAAACAAATGAAGAATGATTGCAGGAATTGAATAAGAAGGACTAGGTGACATGATAGCAGCGTTCCAATATTTAAAGGGACGTCACAAAGAAGAGCAGGTCAACCTATTCTCCAAAGCACTTGAAGGCAGGATGAAAAACAATGGATGGAAACTAATCCAACGTAGGAGAAATTTCCTGACAGTGAGATCAATGAATCAGTGGAACGATTTGCCTCCAGAAGTTGTGGGTGCTCCATCACTGGAAGGTTTCAAGAAGAGATTGGACAGCCATTTGTCTGAAACAGCATAGAGTCTCCAGCTTGAGCAAAGCTTCTTGACAATAAGAGCAATTTAACAGAAGAAACAGTGATTCATAAAAATGGTGGTCCATCCACAATGTTTTCAAACAGCCATTTGACAGCAATGGTTAAAATTCACTAGGAAATTGATGTCTCCAAGGTCCCTTCCAACATTAAGATTTTTAGAGTCCCACAACAATATATATATATATATATATATATATATATATATATATATATATATG